CCTTACATAACCCCCAGGGGGGTAGTAGGTCGGGGTGCTGGATTCTAGGCCCCCTCCGCCAAACTGGAAGATTCTTTGGGGTGTTTGCATGGTAAGGTCCTAAACCCAACGCAAGGTGTGTTGCAAGTAAGGGGGGGTGATAGGGTACCCTTGCTCTGAGGGTTAGGGTTTAGGGGTTCCGCCCCCAAACTAAGTTGCAACCCCAAGACGGCTTTGCAAAGACCGGTGTCCTGTTAAGACTGTGCGTCCGTTGTTGCTCCCTCCCTTAGCGGCGCCCTTATTTTGAGAGACCCACATCTAAATGGCCCACATGGCTAACTGTGCGATCCAGTGCTCCTGCTTCGATGGCCGAAACCTAAAGCCCCACACCCGCCTGAAACGTCATATGGCACCCCATATATGAGCCTCTTGTGAGAGACTCCGAGGCAACCTTTTGTTGAGCTCCTGCGCCATGCCTTGATATTTGAAGTTTGCCTAGAGTCGAAATTTCTGATTTTGGACGATAAGTTTCGCAGCGAGCTCTTGTTAATTCAAGAGGCATGGGGGATTCCTGGGGGAGAATATTACATGCCACCCTGCAGGATGTTACGGAAGTTGATATGGTGCAGAGGCACTTCTTTGCTCCTTGCCGACTTGCCGTGCTGTTCAACAAGAAGCCGGCGTAGAAGCCTCAACCCGAGCTCCTAAAACTAAATTGCGAAGGCAAGTAGGGGTTTCCCAAAATTAGGGGTACCATTTTGGGGGTCCCAATAATAGGATTATAGTATTTTGGGGTCTATATTGGGGTCCCCTATTTTGGGAAATTACCAAGTTCACAATCTAAACTCTGATTTCGTAACTCCCGAGCCAAAGCCCACATCTTTGATTCTCAGCTGCCCCGCGCCCAAATCTCTCCGTTCAAGCCCCTAAGCAGCAAATCCGACCCTTGTTCCACCAAACGTAGAGCAAGCACGCACAAACTACAGCTCAATGTCGAGCAAGCCGCCGTATGGTGGAAAGAAAGTTTGGCGCAGCAAAGGCCCAGTCAGTCCTTTTGGAGAGTACATATTTTCCGCCGTGCCAAGACCCGATCGTGCTCCCTTAGTTGGCATGCGTCTTGAGGCATGCGCCTAGATGTAGCGTGATTCCGATGAAGGCATCGCAGCATGATACATACCTATATGCTTGCCCCACGCACATGCATTCCGATTCAGGAATACTCTGTGGTATCTTAGATTAAGTTCCTTAATAGCAACCACCCCTAAGCTTTAAGCCTTGCACAGACGTTGATTGCCTGGAACATATTGATTTCATTTATGTGTATATATATATATGTATATGTACATGTATATATATATATATATCTCTCTCTCTCTCTCAGTCGTCCCACCCGCCCGATGCTTACACCCTCCAGCCACTCCACGCTGGGATTCCTTTCTACGCCTGCCCGTCCTTACCTCAATGGGATACAAAAAAGCGGCCTTACAAGCCAACCAACATCAAACTATTCGCAATAGAGGGTCCATGTAGCTATAGTAACTATATGGTATATGCTTGAGCCTAAAAGTAGGTATATGGGAACCCCTTTGGGCCCTAAGTATACACCATATGAGCTATAGTTTACACTCCTTAAAGGGGGTTGTAGGGGAATATTTAGGGGAGTATTATACGGGTAACGTAAGGCCAATACTGGGCGTTTAGCCTATGTACCATATACCTTGGGAGGACCCCCCAGCCCTGTCACAGTGACTACACTCGAAAGTAAGGATTATGTTAGGCTCCTCTTATACTTATTCCTATTATACCACAATTACAGGGTGGGGGGTCCTCCTAAAGTCACTCATCTGAAATTGAACCTTACACGCCTAACCCACATTTCCCAAAGTGATTCCCTAGACCAACCCTCAACCCTAAACCCCCTATCTACCTTTTCTGTTACAGGGTGGGGGGGGGTCCTCGGAACACCCTAAACCCTAAATCCTAAACCCTAAACCGCGCTCTCTGCATGGACCCTGTGGGATTCAAGACCAGCCTTTGCACTTCAGAAGCTCGAAGTTGGGTTTCAGGGTTTTGGGTTCAGGGCAAAAGGGTTTTGGGTTTTAGGGTCGAGTTTTTTGGGGTGTTGGGTTCAGGGTTTTAGGGTTTTAGTGTATTTAGGGGCCGCCGGAGCCATTTTCAAAACAAACCATAGGGCGGAACCCTCCAGAAACCAAGCAAAACGGTCTACATCCGCAAAACCCGGAAAGAGATCTACAAACTCTTTCACCCTACAGCCAGAAGAAACTCACATAATCACATGCATAGAGTGAGAACTGATCACAGGCGCCGGCATCCTAGCGCCCCGGATTTGTTTCAGCAACCAGGGATTTCAAGGTTGAGGATTTAGGGTTGATTTAGATTTGGGGTTTGGGGTGTAGGGTCTAGAGTTGACCTAAGCCATAGTCTAAACTCCTAATCAGTATTCCCCTTATAACCCCTCTAGTAGTCCTCTATATAATCCCCAATATAACCCCCCTTTAAGGAGTTTAGACTATGGTTCTATAGATTTGGGGTTGGGATAGGAAGTCAGGATTGAGTCTTAGATTTTGGGATTCAGGGCTGAGAGATTCTGGGTACCCTACACCCTAAATGCCCTGATCTCTTTGGTGCTTGGTAAGGAATTGGAGGCTTGAATTTTAGGCTCCTACCATTCCTTTGTTGAGGGGCTTAAGGATTGAAGGTTTGGGGGTTTAGGGTTTGGGATTTGGCGTTGGGCGGTCCCAGGTTCAAAAAATGGGTTCAGGTTGAGGGCTTAGGGTTTAGGGCTGCTGAGCACGACTGAACTAGGAGCATTAAAGAGTGGGTTGCTTGAATCAGGCTGTCGGGCCCTCTAAACCCTAAAACCCTAAATCCTAAACCCTAAAACCCTAAGTCCTAAACCCTGAAACCCTCAACCGTAAACCCTAAAACCATACTCACGAGATACCCTACAACCCTGAACCCTAAACCCTTGGAGCCCAGAGACTGGAGCCGCCGAAATTCGGCAAATGTTCCGGCAACCCACAGTCAGGCTGCATACAAACCAGGTGCCTATGATCTATTGGGGTTATATTGGGATAGTGGAAAAGAAAATGGAAACCCTAGGTCCCTTTAAAGGGATATTATAGGGCTATATTGGGGTTATATTGCAGGGGCCCCTACCTCTCTACGTACACCCATACTGCATTCCTGAAAACTCTAAAGTCTAAACCCCCCAAAGCTGCATATACTCCACCCCGTAATTTAGCCCAAACTAAACCAAACTCCTGAGCTCTAGCCTGCAGCCCTAAGAACACCCCAAAACCCGAAGAGCCGAGCCATCTCGACGCTCATAAGTATGAAGAAACTCAGTTATGACCAAGTATGGCCAAGTACTATCCTTCCTGGGTTTAGGTTTTTTTTTTTTTTTAAACAGTGGTGTTGGATACTTGAATGGCCCGCAACCTTATAAAACCACGATATTCCTCCTTTCCACGAAATTTGCTGTGTTCTCGCCATTCGAAACCTTCTGAACCCCAAACCCTAAGCCCTATGCAACAAAACTGTATTTACATATCTATAAAAACTTGTGTATATATATATAGACATATACGAACATACACACGTATGAGCTACAGTCTAAACTCCTAGTATCCCCTTAATGACCCTTATAGTAGTCTCCTATATCATCTCCTATATAACCCTTTTTAAGGAATCCCAATAAACTACCTTATAACCACAGTGTCTATTTCATTTTTCCATTTTTCTTTTCCATGTGATTCTCCATTTCAAGCAATTTAGACCTAAACCCTAAACCCTAAACCCGAAACCATATGTATCTCCTGTACCTTGCAAGGCTCAGCTACAGTCTGCTGCGCCCTCCTCCGTCCCACGCCTCGTTGGCGAGCCGATCTCCACTGCTGCGGGTCGAATTGGGTTTAATTAGGGTTTAGGATGTAGGGTTAAGAGTTCAGGGTTCAAGGTTTAAGGTGTTGGGGGCTTAGGTCCTCAAACGAGTGCCCAAACCTCTAAAAGACTCCTAAAAGTGTCTTATGCTACTACAGGCTTTTGCTCAGCAGGGGGAGTCTATTGATGCATTCACACAGTATGTGCAGCAGTGTGAGTTAATTGCAGAAGCTGTTCCGAACAAGTTCAAACCAAACGACATCCAGACAAACATGCGCACAGGTCTTCGGGACATCAACATGCAATATATTGCAATATAATTCAGGAAGACTGTTCCATTGGCAAGGGAGCGTTGAAGACCTTAAGCTGCAGACCTAAGTTCACAGACCGCCCCCCAACCCACTTGCCGCCGAGGATGAATATCTCCTGGCTCAGATGGAGAAGCGGCAGGCGTGCATCATGGTGTCAGTCAGACAGGGTCGCAGCTCATACACAAATAATATATGTGAGTTTCTCGGGATGCAATATAGGGCCTATACCGGGAATATTGGGTTCCCATTATGGATTCTATGGGGATCATTTTGAGAGGTGTCCATGTAATGGTGGTTTTCACTTTTGTAGCCCACGCAAAGTTTAGGAAATCTTGATGAGCGTATATGTTGGCAGTGAACTGAGTGTCCCTGTGCGGAGACCATACATTCAAACTGTAGGTCAAATTCATGCAGACAAAAGCACGATCCTATATAGCCCTTATATCATAACCCCTATATAGTCCCTAGAGAATCCCTATTATCCCTACATTCTACCTCCTGCTAGTCTCCCTTGGCCCTCGGAAAGGAGTCTATCAGTTTGAGCAACCTCCATATCGTCCATGTTATAGCCTTAGTTGCAGCATGTCGAAACTCATGCTGGCTGGCGGGGCCGTGTTGTGTGTGAGGGTGCAGCAATGAAGGGGCCCTGGCTTGCTGATTGTAGTCATGGCAAAGCGCCATCTTGTTGCTGAGCTGCTCAGATTACTAGGGTTTAGGGTTTAGGGTTTAGGGTTGGAAATGGGAATTGTATGGTATCAGCATTTAGAAGTGCCTCTATGTGAGAACAAACAGCTTGTCGAGGATGCGATGGATTGGGCGGATGCTGCGAACTGTGAGACCTTTGGTGAAGATGCGGGTTGGGATGTGACAGAGTCTCAGATGCGGAGAAGTGTGGGATGCTGACCATGATTTGGGCTTAATCTAGACCATGATTAATCAACCCCTCCTTCTAAGGGCTTAATATTAGGATGGGGGAGTATTCTGCGCACTGTGGGCAAGTATAAAGAGTTTGTTGGGTTCGAGCTGCTTTGAACCCTACACCTTGGGTCATTCCCCCTCCCAGTAACTGTCCTTAAAGGGGCCTTATTCAGGGGGTTCTTATAACTCCTAGAACCCATTGTGGTAACAGTTACTGTAAGGGGGAATGACCTAACCTACACCCTAACCCTCAATTCCACACCCTGACTTGATGTGCCAACTGCTGCTCGGGAAGCTGAAATCTGAGAGCACTTAGTCAGCCAGCTGAACCCTCTCAAGCAAATACGGCACTGAGTCATGTGGGACCCAAAACCCAAAACCCTAAACCCAGACCCTAAATCCTGAACCCTAGCACTTTCTTGCGATCTTCTTGCAGCTCGGTACCGCGTATTTGGGCAGGATCCCGAGTTCCAACTAAAGTTCCCCTTGAGTAGATTACGGTTATATTGAAGTAACATCAGGCTTATATTGGGATATTGGAAAAGAAAATTCTCCAGGCCATATTCCATCTACTTCAGGGGGGCTATCACCATGTTCCACTTCGCCCCTCCTCCCTACAGAGCAGCAACAGTGGAAATTGAATGATTCAGGATTCAGAGAGCATTATTCTCACATTCTTCTAGCAGTTACCATAACTTGATCTTCAAAACTTAGGGGTCCCTTTCTGGGGGCCTCCAGAATAAGGAGTGAAATCTTGATTCATGTGTGTGCATTGGCTTCCCCTAGGTGTATGGAACCCCCCATACATGAGCTACGATCAATATGAGGCTTATTATGGCCCTAAATCCTAAACCCTAAACCCTAAACCCAAAAGGGGACCCTCAATCGTGGACGCAGGGGTCCATCTTGTAGTTCAGTAAAGTCCCGGATCTGGTTGTAATGAGGAACCCATGTCCATTAAATCATGTAGGAATTATGGGGGGGGGTTCAAAGGGGTACATTTTGGGGGGGCCAATAATGAGGTCATAGCATTTGGAGATCAATATTGGGATGCCCCCTATTTTGGGAAACTGCCATAGTCCGTAAACCGTTTAACCCTTAACCCTTATAAACCCTGTTGATGTAGCTTATATCATCCATCCCTGATGCCCAGTCTGGCAGGCAGCAGGGACAGTAGCGGTTTGCCAGTAAGCCACTTTTCGGCTTGTCGGGGTTCCTTATAGGTTCTGTATCAACGTACGTTATGCTGGAACTCCCCCGCACCCCAAAAATACGTGTGGGGGTTTCCCAGAATTAGGGGTACCTTTCAAGGGTCCTATTAATAAGGACTAATATTATTTCAGGGGTCTATATTGGGGTCCCCCTATTTGGGGAAATTCCCATTTAAGCCCGAGTTTTCTTGGGATCCTATTCATGCCCATCACTCCAAACAGCAAGGGTCCAAGCGCCGCAATTTAGAATACATAAGCTCCAAAGCAGAATATCGATACATGTATACATGGTACATATATATATATACATACATACATACATGCATGCATACATACATACATACATACATATGCAAGCATACATCTTTTTACACATGTGTACGGGGTTGTCAACCACTTCCGCAAAATGTCTACTGCATGCATATCCGGTTTGCCTAAGGACATGCTGTCGGCTCCGGATGCAATCCACCGACCTGGGCGGGAGCAGCATTTGGTTGGCCCCACGGCTCTCCTGGGGTTCCAGGTGATATGTACAGGGATATGTAGACCCTTCAAGATACTACAAACTTCAATACGATTTAAGGTATATCCCTTACTTAAGGGATACCGTATTGGGTTCGCTGGCCACCCAGCATGCAAGGAGTTACTTCTGCCTTTCTAAACATCCTAAACTGTCTATAAACCTTACATCCAGAAAGTGCCCATCTCACAGAGTAGCTGCGGTTCCCGAAATAGAGGGCCCCACTACAGACCCCAAAAGAATCTAATCCTCATAATTGGTAGATACAAGAAAGGAATCCCTAATTTTCAGAACCCCCCCCAAGTTTCATCACACCATCCTTGAACATTGGGCTGCATCCGCAACGTTGTTTTTGAGGTCTCTGCATTGGGAAGTGACGCCAGAGGGAATGCTGAGTACTGCCCCCACCCCGTGACAGTCTGTAGTCCTGTTATCATTAGGGACTATAATGGGCTATACAGAAACGTGATATACTTTGTATCTAGCTGTTAGTGGAGGGCAGTACACAAAGTGTATGTTGTTGTTTCAAATCAGGAGAGGATGCGGAAGGATAAGTTTCCCGGGCAGTGATGACATGATAAGACAGACGCAGTGTGAGCGCGAGTAAAAGGACATTGTTATGGCTGATTCGGAAGTTTGATGGCACCAGTGCCCAAGTCAAATGCATTAGCGCGAGGCACTTGCGGCTTTATGGGTACCGCTGCGCCCAAGTACGCAGGCCATTTGGGCGCAGTGGAGCTCAATGCCACTTTCCACGACCGTGGCAATGCAACCTACGACAGTCAGGCGTTTAAGGGAAGATGTCCTTGCGTCCCAGGTGTTCCCCGAGTTGTGCTTAATTCATTCTATGCATTAGCCTTAACACCATACGGGTGTACAGAAATTGCAACTTCTTCGTTTATGGAGATGAACACGGACAACGAAGTGCTGTGGAATCGATACTACTTCGCCCACTGTTTGCTTCTTTGGCATCAGACTTCCCAAATCTCGAGCCTTAGCCCAACCGTATACCGCCTGAGTCTCGAATCCTAAAGCCAGTGGTCCATCGTTTGTTCACCCTACGCCCTACTTCCTGAAATTCTGAAACCTCCTACCGAGGCCCCCTCTGAACATTGAAATAAAGCACCAAGTTGGACTGCGGGATGCCGCAGCTGGTTTTTTTGGATGTAGATTGTAAAGCATGAAGGGTTTAGGGTTTAGGGTCTAGGGTTCAGGGTTTAGTGGCAAATGCCAGTATCATCTGCTATCCCTTGCGGTCCAAGCACCCATTAGTATTTACACTTCCCCAAGCCCTGTCCTAGAAGTACTTCGAAACCCCTAATGGATCCTTATAGTAGTCCCCATATAACCTGGTATAGTAGGTCCCACTGTCTTGTCCGTTCCTTCTCAACCCAAACCTATATAGCCCATTATAGTAGTTTCCATTTTCCTTCTAAACCCTAAACCCTAAAACCTATGCAGCCAAATTGTCTTAGTTTCCATTTTCTTTTCCATTATCCCTATAGAACCCCTACCCTGAACCTTAAATCCTAGATCCCAAGTATCTGAAGTAATCAACTATTCACCCTAAACCCCTAAACCCTAAGCCCCTAAACCCTAACCCCTAAACCCATTATTAAGTACATGGACTCTCAGGGTATCTTTGGGTCCCAGCCAGCCTTAGGCCCCTGGGTGGTTTAGGGTTTAGGGTTTAGGGTGTTTAGGGGTTTTAGGGTTTTAGGGTTTGAGGGTTTGGGGGTTTAGGGTTTAGGGTTTAGGATTTTGGGTTAAGGGTGTAGGGTTGAGGGTTTCGGGTTTTGGGGTTAGCCTAAACCCGAAAACCCGAAGCAATGTGTTCAGACTGGGGTCCAAGCCTTCGCCTTGCCTTGCACTGACTTTGCCTTGAAATTCGAAATCTTTAGCCCCGACTGGGGGAGGCCACCATGAGGAGCCCCTTGTTAAGTAATTCTGATTATGGTAGATCGGCGACTATGCTGGAGAGCCTTGTTTAACGTTTCAGGAAACCCCCAAATCGTAGACCCTATACACTTTATAAACCTCGAACCCTAAACTGCGCGAGGCTACGAAATACGCGCAGTTGGGCCTACAAATCATGGTGAAGGTCTCCGGCTACGCGACTCACGACGTGGGCTTAAAGGATCTTCGGGGACAGAGCGCATAAAGTTACAGGATGATAGGGCGTGAGCATAACGGGTTTAGGGCGTAGGGTGTTGGCGGTTTAGGGCAATAAGGGTCTTGCACCCGAGGTACAAGGTCCTTTGTAAGCATAATAAACATCTGCAATCTGTTAGATTTCTGGAAAGGGGGGCTGGGGTTAACAGCTTGGCATCTGAAATTGTGTCACGGACGAACTATTCACCAACTACTACAGGGATCCTCCGCCGGGAGCTGAGAGTATGCTGGGGGGGGGGGTATGTAAATGGCCTAGTAAATTTCAAAAGCCACATTGCATTCATGTTTTCAGGGTCAATGTCCTTGGGGTCTTGACTTTGGATTGGCATGGTGTAGGACGCTCTACCGGCGCGGAGTTAGGGATCTTTTCCTGCAGCAGCCCAAATTCCTCAAAGTCTTCGGCTTTCTACAAGGGTTCGCATGGTTATCACTCGTTTGCAAAGAGATGGTGCCCTCACTGAAGCAACCCTGCTGCTTTTGCATTTGGACCTTGGCTGTTCAGCTTGATGTCTAGGGACTCCTGGTCAACAACTTGCAGGAAGCCATGCAAGTAAGCCTGCACAGCTCGAAGCCCGACATGCAGAAAATGAATCTCGCTTCCTGAATCGCACGCCCTAAGCTCAAATCCCTAAACCCTAAGCCCCTAAATCCAAAACCTCTGAACCCTAAACCATGAACTTTAAAAGCCAAGGTCTCCACTCTCCCATCAAAAGCTAACAGCGGAACGATCCCCAGCCTGCACTGCATTAAGCCCCTACGCCATACATCCCTGAAACTTTAAATCTAGACCCAAGTACAGATTTCCAACAATCAGGATCGTTGTTTGAAAGCCCCTAGATCGAAGGAAGGATTATTACGCTTCGCCATGAGATCTTAAAAGTTATGAGCCCAGACCCACCTCAATTCCTGTGGCTTAGAGGACCCAGCCAGCTGGTGGCCGTGGCTGCGAATGAAGTATGCGCCCTTTGCCACTAAGCGGAGATTTGGAAATTTAGGGTATAGGGTTAAGGGTTTCAAAACATGTTCTACATCCCTTGAAAGGGGGACCCTCCCAACGGTCCTAACATTTTGAAGAGACCCCTGGTTTAGGGTTTATAGTGATAACTGCCAGCATGATAGTTCTCGGTTCCTTGCATAATTACGGCGCGGAGCACCCAGACTCCTTAGGCCTCGGTATTGGGTTGCTGCTGAGGACCTTCATTAAGTTACCATATCAGGGAAAACCGTGAGCCATATTATATACTGCGTATGCCCCTTATGCTAGCTTAACTTAACTCAACTTACTTAGCAGCCACCCTGTAAAACCGTGAAGTGAAAACTTGACACATCCATGGATCTGGGGCGGTCCCGGCATACTTTGTATGTATTTGGTATACTGCTGAAGCTGCACTGCTGAAGGTTGAAAAATAGTCACCAATGCTATTCCCTGACAATGCTCATGAGGTGTTACAATCAAACTGTAGAAAACCTCCCGACACACCATTCTGCTTATTTTGGCCCCTGCGTCTATGCCTTCCATTTTTGTTTCCACTTCTAGTTGTATAACTGCTAAATGTCCTTCTTTTGGGGTTCAAGCACCCGACAACAAAGCTCAGGTGAATGCTGGGGTCCTGGTGGGTTTGCTCTGGCAGCTTCCACCCACCTTTGCTTGCACAGAGGAGTGCGGAGCACCCTAACGCATACAAGCATTGAACGGCATGTAACCCCCTTTTAGAAGGATTGTAGCGCGCATAAGCCCCCCCTTGGGGAGAGTATGTTGGATGGGGCCATAACAGCCAGAAACTGCCCGCTAAAAACTGGGAGAAGCCCGAAATACGACAATTCTGAGTGTGGGACCCCCAATCAAAAGGTACCCCTAATTTTGGAACACCCCATATGTTGTTATCTAAGGTTCCAAGTATGAGCCCCTAATGTGGGCCCTGAAGCCTTTTAGGGTGATTCTAGGGCCCTTAGGGGTACATGTAGGTTACACGCTAGGCATATAAGACTCCTAAACCGTAAACCCCGTACTTGGAGCCCATGATTTCAACCTTAGAAGTTAGTGAGTCCACGCCAGCTTGCCTGGATACGAACATCCCCTCTAGCCCAGGGCTCCATATGAGGGACCATTGGGTTTGGGGTTTAGGATTTAGGGTTTAGTGTATTAGCCTGTTTCAGGGACTCGCAATACTTGACACACAGGTCCCTCTTGCAGTTTAGTATCGTGCCTGATAGAATCCCTAATAAGGAGCCTGTGTCCATAGATTATGTGGGTAGTACTCACTGTAGCTCAGGTAAAAAGGCACCAGTTTGGCCGTAGATGCTTGCTTCCAAGGGTAAAGCCTCATGTATATTTCCTGCACTTAACCGAACAAGCTATGCCCATAACATGTTATGTGCCCCTCTCACTTGACATAGGATAGTTTCAGGAAGCAATGATAAATCTTTCCAAGCCAGCCGTAAACCCTGCACATCGTACCCTAAACGCTTTGCCCGAAACCCGTAGCTGTTGTTGGTGAGGATGGAGACGGTGCTGGTGCTGGTGGAGGCGGTGCTGGTGCTGGTGGAGGCGGCGGCGGCGGCGGCGGTGGTGGTGGTGGTGAGGATGAGGATGGCGATCGCCGCGTTGGTGGTAGTAGTGTGGTGGTAGTAGTGCTTAAAAAAGTAGTCTTAGTAATCGTACTAGTAGCGTGTAGTAGTGGTAGTAATGATAGTACAATAAGTGTAAATTTGCCTTCTGCATCGGCCATGCGGGCGTCACAGCTCCTAACCAGGAGTCGTGTGATCGCCTTGACGCACTGGGGACAATGCTGCGTTCGCAGGCCCAAACAGGATCTTGGCTCGAGCTCCGCCGCCAGGAATGAACATAATGCATTCATGAGCTTGCGATTTGAGGTATACATGTACACATAGGGCTGAGGGCTTCAGGTTTACTGAGGGTTGATCTGGTTTGGGGCCGTGCCTGGTTGCAACATTGATGGGCCAGGCTGTTTGGCTGTGTGACGGGGGAGGAGGGAACATGATTTGCGGCGCATTTTTTGTGAAGGTGAACCCAAGGCTGATCTGCAAGATCAAGTTAATCAGGCTTGTTCAACGAGAGTGGTCGCACTAGCCTTCGTACAGCAGCCCTTGCTAGGGAATCGATGAGTGAGCCCCTACATCCTCACCATAACGCCCCCTAGAATGATCCCACCAACCCACCGCTTCCTTCAAAGCCTTTAAGAGCGGAGCCCTGGTACTCAAAATTATTCCGCACCACCCAAAGCATGTGCAAACCTAGGTCATGCCTTCGAATTCCGGGAATCTTCTTGGTTCGAAAGTGATCGTGCTCGACAGATCATGCAGCAGCATCGCCTGACGCTGGTGGGCATGTTTAGGGTGCCAAGATTCCTGTTCTCACGGGTTGATGCGTCGGGGTTAGGTCCTATAGGGTTGGTATCAAAGTTCGAGTGGCCACTTCGGATTCCCAAGCTACACCGCAACATATCCCACAGCAGTCAAAAGTGTCAGTCATTCATTCCAAGTGCGGGTCCACCGATCATCCTCATTGTAGAGAACCCTCAAAAAAGGGACGCCTGATTTTGGGAAACTTGCACGTCCGACACGAAACCCTTATCCCCCCAAACCCTTAACCTAAACCCCCAGCTCTGTATAATCCCCAAACCTTTACAAACCCTAACCCCCACCCTAAGCTCTTATGAGCCCTATATGCTATGCAGCGCCTAGTGACCTTAGTGGCCCCTGTATAATGACATACATGTATATGCGTAGACTAACCTGCCGAACTCCATGAACCCTCAACAGGTGTGTTCCCATGTTATCAACGACACGGGCTGGGCGGGCGATCTGACTTCTGGCTGGCACGGCCTGCCTGCGGGGGCAGAGGCAGGGTCAGGTTGTGAAGGTTTTGGTGCCCTAAACCCTGGTAAAATTCAGGGTTTCGAGTTAAACCGCTGTAGATATCTTCGGATCTGGGAAACGACGTATAGGGTTGGGTTTATAGGGCTCAGGGAATGGGGGCCTAGGATTAGGGTCAAAGTTTCTCTCCGTGTCACGTGGAAAACAACATGAAATATGCCATGGAGAAGGGTTGTGTAGGGGTTATGCTAGGGTTTATTAGTGCCCCTGAAAATAATGAATTTACCCACGCCCCCCAAATAACAACAAGTTTTGCCAATATGATAGCCCTCCAGTTTGTGGAAGGTGTATAGGGCCCCCCGAAATATTTTTGCAATCTCCCGATACCCCTAGTGTGCCGGTAGGTATCCAATGGGTACGTCAGTTGTTTTTCACCCCCCATGGGATTATAATGGAGATAGCATGGTTGAGCCGGCTAAGAGGAGTCTAGTTTGCGTGCTTTCGTAGTGGGATGCCTGCCCCCTTTGCTTTTTACATGCGCAGGGGCCTCATTTTACGCGAAACCAATTTCGGGGTATGGGTCGAATGACCTTCCCCCCACAAGGAAGCATCTCTTCAAATCGGCAGCCTCTAGCCTCTCCTCTCATTACGAGACATCCCTACTTGTACACCAGGCTACATGAGGCCATGAAGCATGAATGCGTCCGTCTAATGTGATTTTTGCTTGTTTTTGCGCACAGGGAGTAATAGTGATACATAAATCCTGATTGGGAAATGGCCATTGAGATCCCGCGAGTCACGTCCTAGCACCGACCTGCTAACGGAAGTGTTGAGGCTATTGGTGAAGTCTGCTTAAAGGGATGTTTCTCAAGACTGTCTCCTTCATGCCCCCTATAGGCACAACATAGGGGTCCCTAGGCGTACGGAAAACTATATAAGTCATATTTATGCCGTATCCTAGAGTCTCATACTAGTTTCGAACATGAATAACAAAATGCGTGTGATATGATATGCCTACCTAATCCCTGCATCCCGGACGCAGCAAGTAAGTAGGTTGGTCATAGTGACAACTGGGGTCATTGTGTGGCTCACAGGGCGTATACAATACATATAATACTTACTAAGTCCCGCTGACCCTGAATCCCGAACGCTATACACCCTAACCCCAATTATAGAGTAGCTTCCATTTGTTTCCAGCAACGGCCTGACGCAGGAGGCGCGCAACCGAGACCCTGGGTCGCTACGCGGTTTAGGGTTGAGGGTTTAGGGTTCCCTATGAAAGGGGTCATGTTGGGTTTCCTCGTTATATTAGCTAAATAAGTCCCTAGCATTCCCTCTCATAATCCCGAGAAAATCCAGTGTGCCAATGAATTGTCCATTTCATTTTCCATTGTTAGTGGCCTATGCATAGACCCAATTTAAGCTCCTCAGATATACAACGCTAGACCCTCCAGCCACCCTCTCGATACCTTAAATATCCATTATTAGGCACCACATACGCGCATGTAAGGGTACAAAGAGGGTCCTGGACAACAACCCAGGATTTCATCTACATCCGCTGCTTTGGCACCACTGGGCGAAGTATTGGAGCCTACAGTACTCCAGTCCTGCAGATGTTGCTTGGGAGTGCGCGTGCAGCGCTTTTTTGAGAGTTTAGGGGGTCAGGCTTCAGGATTTAGAGTTCAGGGTTTTGAATTTAGGGTTTAGGGTTTAAGGAGGTTTCCCAATATGTGGAAGGGAATTTCGCGAGAGGTGTCGGTTCAACACCTGGCAGTCGCTAACTTTTGAATGTAGGCCCTAAGTGTCCAGAAAGCCCACCGACTGCAATTTTGAGTGAATTTGGAGTATCCGCACCATCAAAACCAAAAGCGATATACCTACTCGGTAGAGAATTTCTGGAAAGGCCACAAAAAGTGGGCCACCAAAAGTTCAACACCGGGCGTTGAACCTTTGGTGGCTAACTTTTTGTGCCTTTCCTTATCTGTAGCCATTTTCTGGAAGGGCCAGAAACACCTAGCGGCCAAAAAGTTCAACACCGGGTGTTGACCTGTGGGTCGCTAAGTCTTGTTGTGCCTTTTCGTCATTGGTAGTGAATTTCTGGAAAGGCCAAAAAAGTTAGCGACGAGAAAGTTCAACACCGTTTGAATTTTTGGTCGCCTCACTGGTAGGGAATTTAAAAGCGGCCAAAAAGGTGAGCAACCAAAAGTTGAACACCGGACGTTGATATTTTGGTGGCTAACTTTGTTGTGCCTTTTCCTCGTTGGTAGAGAATTTTTGGCAAGGCCAAAAACACCTAGCGGCCAGAAAGTTCAACACCGGGCGTTGAACTTGTGGTGGCTAACTTGTTTGTGCCCTTTCCTTTTTGGTAGAGAATTCCCGGAAAGGCCACAAAAACTTAGCGACCCAAAGTTCAGCACC